CGCATCCCGGCAGATTACCCTCGACGCGAGCGCCTGGCGCTGCCCGCCGCGTTTCAGGGCTTGGGAGTTGGCGCATGGCTATAGGGATTAGAACATACTGCAATATGCCATAATACACCACAATATACCATAATATACTATAATATGCCATAATATACTATAATATACCATGATATACCATGATACACTAGAATATACTAGTTTCAGCTTAAGCGTCCTACCCAAGGATCGACTTCAGGAAAATGCCGGTCTCACAGGAAAGACCACAGGCCCCGTTGCAGATTGCTCACCACCTTGCCGTACGTTCAAGAGGGCTCTCAACCTCGTCTTAACGCGAGGGAGCTGGAGAAAGCGTTTGCCTACTCAGACACGCCGCCCCGCAATAATGTACCAAAAGGATGCTTGTGTTTCAATTATGATGTGCTCTTTCGTCGGGCAAGCGCTTCTGTTGCGAGGATCTTTGAGCTGTAAGGGTGGACACCGGCTTTGCCAGGTCCCTGGGATAGGTTCCGTAGCTAGGATTCTTTCGCAAACTATCCCATAGCATGGCACATGTGTGCCATGTCCTCATTCACGCTTGAGCCTGTGCTATGTAGAAGTTCAAATCCGATTTCGTTGCCAGCGTTATCTGCCGGTCATTCTCTTGACCGAAGTAGACAAGGACCTTCGGGGCTGGGTCGCTGTTGCACCGCTTTGGAGTCGTGATTCAGCGTTGAGGCCTGGTCCTTCATTTCTTGGGAAGGTTCTGCTTCGAGGGGCTGGGCACGGAGACGTTGACTATGAACGACTCTGCGCGTGTCAGCTAATCAGGGCTGTGTATACCCTTGCACACGCGGCACCAAGTCTGCGAGATCACTGAAACACACTGCCACTTCGCGCTCTGAAGACTACGTACGTCGCAGTTGCTTGAAAAGCCATACGGTTGGGGTTTGGGGCTGCCTCTACGGTAATTAGCCCTTAAACCACAGGAATCCACTGTACCACACATAGATCTCCGAAAAGTAGACCCACATTTGACAACCGCGTCCTTTGCCCCCCGAACCTGTCAACCCGAACAGCAGACCACCCTCTTGCCGAAAATCCCCGACTTCCCCTTCTCTTCCTAAACCCTGACCCCGAAAACCTCCAGAACAAGCACACCCCAATCTTCGAAGACGAAGTCCTAGCAGGCTACTACCCCAAAGCCACAGGGATGAATCCTACACTGCCGCTAAACCCGAAACTACTTGTATGATAGAGTAAAATATACAGTAGTGAAGGATAATATACGATAATATACTACAAGATACGATAATATATTGTAACCAAACCCTAAGCCTTTAGACAGGAGCGCGGCACGGCGCAGGGCGCTGCAGCCTCGGTCTGTTCTGTGAAGGTTCTGTTCACCCGACAGTGTAGCCGGCAGTCCCAATCCAGGAACCACAAGGGTAGTTCTCTAAACTAGGATCCCTTTTTCGGGTCCAAAACCGAAAAGCATGGTGTACTCGGTCCTATATCTGGCTTAGATGAGGGGCTTCGAGATTAGTCACAGGCTTCGCATACTGTAGGTCCTTAGCGTTTTATAACGGAACCTTGAACTGTACAAACGTGGCCAAGGCCCTAGACCACGCAACGAACCACCGGTTTGCCCGAAGGTCCGATAAACTGGCATCGGGGCTCGGGGTAGGTAACAACCCTGAGACTGGAAGTTCCATTCACTTTTACCTCCCATCCTGAAGACCATGCCATAACAAACCCTGAACCCTAAACCCTAAACCCTAAACCGAGACTTTCCAAACACCAGGTTTGGCTGACTCTCCGCACGGGCAGACTGTTAGGCCAGCTGGAGCAGGGTGCGGATGGGGCGGGGCTTTGCGAGTCGAAAGACCCGGGGTGTTAGGGCTCGACAGTTTCGGGGTTGAGGGACTTTGAGCAAAGTCTTCGCTCTTCCAGGGTGGAGGTTTTGGGCTGAATGTGATCCTTGCCGCGTCTCAGGGGCTTGGTTAGTGGCAAGAGAACACATTTCGACTCTGGGACTGCATGGGTCAGCAGGAACCGGGATATGAAAGGGTGTTTACTTCATGCTGGTAACTATGAGCATGGTGGCCGCGATAGAAAACGACCGGGTGCAAGATATTGCTATTGCCCCCCCCCATTTTTTTACATCGATGCGATGCAGTATCGATCCGATGGCCAACTGTCATGCGTTCGGCTCCCAACTCACCAAAGTAGCCCAGTCAGGTTGGACTGTTGGACTCAAGGCTGCTCTCAGAAGCTTTGGGAATTTCGCTTGTCACAGCCTGGTTCGACGATTCTCATCATGGAAACTGCACACTCCTGGATGCGACATCGGAATCTGAAATCTCTTCGACCAAAGCACACGCACCGTAGACCCTTAACACAAGCATAAACAGGGTCTCCTTGTCTGCGTGTCAGGCGACCTCATTGACGTCTTCCACAGCCGGCCAGACCCCAAAGAGGGCAGCCGGGCAGAGGGAAAGGCGGCAGCATTTGGTAACCAGCGCACAGCGTGCGTTTCCAAAGCTGTTCGGCCCAGAAGCCGAAGAAAAAACATGTCGAGCCGAAGGGTTTCGTGCATCGTGGATTTCGCCTCACTCAACATGAAGATGCACAAAGCTCACATGGTGAATCCATCGGTGACGGCGGTGTCTCTCATGACATGCCGGAACACACTCGGCCCCCCGCGCGCTTTTGAGGCGCTTTTGAGGCGTGCGGCCATGTGCGGCCTGTTCTTGTTCTAGGAATGTTTACGATGCTTTCTCGTCTCAAGTCCGGCGAATGCTGCATCGTGGCCAGGAGGGTAATTTCCATCCTCTGCTATGATAGGCTAGACATCAGAAGGGCAGACTCTGTGGACGATTCTTGGGCGTGGAGTCGCACAGCACTGTCGGGCCCGTGGATAGACAACCTTCCGCTCTGGCGATGAAAGATAAGATGGGGATAGTCGCTTCTAGATTCAGCATTCGGTACAGTGTTGTCCCTCCTACTGGAAGCTTGGGCATCGTCCATACCTGATGAGCAGTTGTTTACGTCACTCTTGTATACAACCACTGCTGTATCCACTTCTCCGCATTGTGTACCTGCGTGTGCCTGCAAGATCAAGCACTGTGGTTCCCGTGTACGACATATCGATGTTGCTAGCATGCGCCAGCCGGAACCCTGTGAGACAGCGAATCTCTCCGAAATCGTAACGCTGAAGAGAGGCAGTCTGGGTCGTGCCAGCGCGACAAGATGTCCAAAGAGTGGCATGTCGTTATGGACGTCAGAGGCGACAGATTGAAGACTAAACGATTGCTGGCGATACCCCGTCTCTCAAATCCGAAGGCCCCAAGCCCCAACACCTGAGCTCGTCGCCCTTACGGTGACTCGCCCGAAATATCGAGGCCCTTGCTTTACGGGGGCCCTGCTGCAAGCGAAGGCCTGACCTCGCCCGCCTCTTCCTGCCGGGTCCAGGGCTTTTCAGGGTGGGAAGAGGGACCCAAAGCCTGAAGCCAAGTTTTGCCGCGTTGGGCCTCAGAAGGCTTCACTTTGTTGACGAATCCCATTAGTCGCTTGAACAAGGGAGCCGATGTGGAGCGGTTGAATCGCCAAGCCCTACACCCACACCTCTGAAGACCATTGGAGTTGGAGGGACGGGGGCTGCGTTGAAGCTCCAGGCACGTAAACCCCAACTTTGACACCCTTGCCGAGAGCTCAAGGCTAATTTCTGAAAGACGCTAATTATGTTACAGCATACTAGATCAAGCCTTTAATTCCCCGTCGTACTTGCCTTGACGTTCTGCCGTACAAAACTGCAGAAACAAATGTCGTGCCAAGCCGTATGATGCAACCGAGGCATGAATTTTCAGGCTTCGTGTTCTTAGGCTCTTAAACCTTTCACTTTCAATGTCGAAATCTTTCAACTCTAAACCCTTGTGGTTCAGGTCTTGTTTACCTTTCTAGCTGTTGCAAGCTGTGTCAATGTCGAGCAACACGACTCCAAAAGCCCTGGTCCTGAAGACTTGGCCTTGAATCCAAACCTCAAAACCGAAGTGCCGGAGGATTCGGATAAGATATATTATTGCACGTTCGCCGAAGACATCCGACCTTGAATGGCTGGCCGTCCGCCCGGCGGCTTTCTGCAAGCGTTGCAGCACGTAGCCTGGATTCCTGCCCCCTGTCCTATTCCTCGCCGTCCTGTCCCACCATGGCACTCACTCACGGTGCTCTTTCCGAGGAGGAGGTCCATGTCGATCCAAGTTTGGGCACTTCAGGCTTACGGATGTTTCAGGGCTGGGGGTCGCAAAGCAAAGAGGTAACAGCCTATGGGACACCAACAAAGCGGACCTTCCATGCACTTGGCTTATCTAAGGTGGATTCGTTGAGGTCTGGTCTGGGGGTCGGATGCCTGAAGATCCAGAAACTCGAAGGGCTTCGTACTGGGAGAGCTGGTGTGCATTCCAAGCTTGCATTGTCGGCCCTAAGCATCTGCAGAAGGAGCCGGGGCCACAGTCGGTCTGTGGTTTGCGATATTCTTCCTGTTCTTGCGCCTTGCACCGAGCTACAGATGGAAGGGGGTATTTGACAACGCTTAGACAGCAGTTGTAGACCGAGCTGTGGATATTATATCATGCAAAGATGTGCGTGTTGGACCCTCGCCACAACAAAGCTTTTCAAGCTTCTCACGTTGCAAAAGACGATCATGTGAAAAGGCTGTAAAACCTACAAGACCATATTAGCCTTGAAAGTAGACCCGCAGGTTGTCCTCATGGAAAAGCCGCGTGCTCCCAAGGGACGTTGGTACATGGCAGGCGCCAGCTCATCCGAAAGCTTGAGCATGCCAGTGGCCAAAATAATCAGATTGTGCTATTCCAGGAGAAGTCGCCAACGTAGTGTTTTTGGAAGGGTCAGTCCGATCGGCACTTCCAGGGATCGGCATCAAGTGTTGCGTGAGATTCATGAATTACGACGATTTGCCGTATCTTGTTAGATGTTGTTAGCTTTTGCCACGTCCTTTTCGCTTCGAAATCAGCATCCTAATGCTTGCTGCAGCCAGCAGGTGCTGCCGTGGCGGCATTGGCGCTGGTGGGCGTTGTGGCGAAGGCTTCAGACTGTCTTCGGATTCAGGACCCCTAAACCCCTGAACCCCCAAAAGGAAGCATCTGGTCGTGGTCTCATCCCTGTCCTGGTCCATGGGAGCCAAGATTGGGAGTCAACGGTTGGGTGTGGGGCAGGTCTCGAGGTTCGGGGGCCGAGATACAGAACACAAGGGTTTGAGTGTGTAAGGCGAGATGGCTGAGACGGTGGGGTAACCGGTACTCACATTTTGAAGTTTGCTGTTTTGGGCTTTTGCGGTTTCCCGTTTACGATGCACGAGCTCAGGAGCTGGGCTGTGATGGCCTAGGAAGCTAGGAGGCATGCTACGGCTGCAAGAGTCTGCGTCCAACACTTGCAGGAACTTGCTTTCAGCTCTAGCGACCAACAGGAGCACCTCGTTCCGACCGACAACCTCGCACCCGACAATCTGCTTCTGCTTTAGCACGGTTGGATTCGCAAGGCAAGCTAGGGCAAACAGAGAAACTGTGGCATGAAACACGTTTGGGATGACGACATGATCGCTCTATGTATGAGACTGAACAATTTATCAGGATCAATAATGAAGAGGATGTGCGAATTAAATGGATGACCACCGCCTCGCTTGGCTTTCGAGCTCATTTGGATGAAATCTGCAAGGGCTCAGGTGGCATTGTCACCATTTCTTCCCAAAGATGCGCCTGCGAGGAAACATCCACCCAAAGTGCGGTGAGCTTAAGCGATTTTGCCAACGACAGCCTTGGTGCAGTTACAGAGAAACGTGCCAGCAGCGCTTTGCGATCGAAAAAACCGTGCACAGAGGCAAACGGTCGTTCCCATCCCCCTCGCCCCTTCGCCGCCCCTCATGTGAATCGACCCCATGCCGGCAAAAGCAGGCATAAATAACAGAGTATGAATGAATGTGCAGGAAAGGCCCCCTAACCAGAGCTGTGGTCGCTTAAAAACGCAGCAAATTTTTGGCCCGCACGGCACAAGCTCTCCAGACCGGGGCCCTGGTGACGACCGCGACGAGGTGTCCCACTCCTCGCTCTCCAAGTCCAAGACGCTGGATGAGATCGAGAATTGGGGGGAGCTTCCAGGAATGGACCAGGCTCTGGGCGTTGTACTGTCTCTGTCTCTCGTATTCCGAGCTCTTGAACATCTCGATGATCTCGGTTTTGGGAAGAGCGTCTGTGGACTCAGCATCAAAGCGTGCCCGTGTGCTGGTTGCCAAGCGGTGGCGCGTGCACGAGCAAAGCAGCATAAGCCCCGAGACAGGTCATCCACAAGGCCCAGGCCCTGAAGATGGACAAGCCCTTGCGCAACCTGCAAGACCTGCGACTCGGCGGAGCACTTTCGAAGCCTCAACGAGAAGTTGGGGTGAGGGCCTGGGACACACCGCAAGCCACGAAGCACAGAGCACGCCCACAGCTGCCCCCAGGTTCTACGACTCCCAGCCGGAGGATACTTGGGTTTTCAATTGGAGATCAGGGGTTTCGGGGTGTGGGAGGTTTGGGGAGTTGGGCTGCAGGGGCTCGTTCCCGGTCCCTAAACGGGTGGGCGGGTGTACGGAATCCTGTTGCCCTGTGGGTGTGGCTGTTGGGGTCCGGCATCCTGTGTGTAAATGTGGGTTCTGGATCGCACCCTTAAGCGACCCATTTCTGTCAGTGTGTGATGCTCGGAATTTGTTGATCATTTGTAGAAGGCACAAATTTCCAAGGTTCAAGGGTGAAGGCGAGTGTGTTGAGGGCTTGGGAAGAAGAGTTTGAGGATGTTTGAGGAAAAGTCCCTACTGTGACAATGACATCACGACAACATGACAGCAACAGCGAGAGTTCATGAGAAGGACTTGAGATTTAACCCACCCGAGTCTACTCAGGAGCTGCCCTGGATCCGTACAGAGTGCGTGATCGACACGGTCCAGGCATCTAGTTCCCAGACCTTGCTACTTCCAAGACCGAAGGCCTTGTTTGCATTGGATCAGTAGATGAGCTGTCCAAGACCGTGGAAGTTGAGAGTTGGGGGTCTTCGGGCGATTGGGCCAGCTCAGTACAGGGCACAACAGATTGGGACATTTGGGAAGTGCAGGCCATTGCGGCTAAAGACCTTTGGGCTCGGAGCAGGTGCGGTTTGTGCAAATTTTCGGTTCCTTCCCCAGCCTTGAGAACATTGGGCACGACCCGGCGCAGGCCGCAGCCTACCTTGCCCAAGCCGTCGTCTTCCTGTACAAGGCGGGAGGCAGTGTCTTCAGGACACGGCTGGCGCCAATGCTCCCGTGAGGGCTGTTTACATATCTTCTAGATGTTGAGACGCAAAACTCGAGACAGGGCATGGGGGTTGGAGGGTGGAACACGCCGGACCCCCACTGGCTTGGAAGGTTAATGAAAGCACTTGAGGCCATCGACTACGACGGCCTGGAGTGCCCCAACAACTCCCCGGTGGGCTGCGCTGCCAGTGTGGCCGGTTGCTCGCCAGCCTTGATCGTCCTCCGTGGAAGGGGCGTACAGAGGCTTGGAAGGTGTAATCTTGTCAAGTCTGGTTGATTTCGAAATAGGGCTTCCAATGTGGAGGGAGGTTGAAGCCCAAGGCTTCATCACCTCCATCACCTGGATTGCCTCCTACCTGTGCCTTGGCCTCCTATGCTGAAGTTTGGGGTGTCAGACTGTCAGAGCAAAACTTTGGAAATGCGGGCTTCACACCGGGATTGTTTACATTGTCCTTCGAGACGAGGTCCGGACCAGGGTTTCCGGATCCAGTTTACAAGATGCCTTGAAAGGGGCATCGAGGTATATACAAATTCTAGTGGTAGTAGACGGTAGAGGAATGTAGACCATGTCTGCGCGAAATTCAGTGGAAGAGCAGCTGGTCGCAGAGAACTCCACAGGGAATCTGTCGGGTTCGGCCTTGGATGGGACGATATCGAAGAATCGTTGTTGTAGAGTTGGGGGTCCCCCAATAGCAGGCGTGTCCTTGCGTGAACTGTGGGATCCCTGAAAGGTGATGAAGCTTCTTCAACAATTCTGCAGGTCCTTCGCGGCGAACGCCTGCGGCCAGGCCGTGAACAACGGAGCGCTTTGCGCAGGCGGGGAACCCAACGGCCCTCAGCATGTCTCAGTCCCGGAAGACATCTGCAACCCGAGGGCAAGCAAGAACTAAGAGAGCCGTGCATCACCATGCATTCCTCGCTCTGAGTTGCAAGAGGTGACTTCACGGCCCTGATGGCCAACTTCGGCGAGATTGCCACCGTGGGCGCCGCCGCCAGAGCTGACTGCGACTTCGGCACCTTGGATCTGATGCTTCGGCTTTTTCGGGGTGTGGGATCTGCACCCGTCTGCATTGAAGAGGCGACGGGGCTTGCGTTGCGCCGGAGAAGAAAAAATGGGAGGTGCGCCCCTCTCCTGCTGCAGTTTACGTTCATGGCTGTGGCCGGTGGTTTGCAAAGCTGGTCATGGACTCACCGGCTCCGACGTGACAGATGCAAGAGCCGAATTCCGCAGGGTCAGTCCTCGCGTAACTGCACTTCAAGCAAACTTCGGGGCCTCCTCTGCACTGAAACCCGAAGCCCGAAGAACCTCCTCGAGCCTCCGCAAACAGTTCGGGGTTAGCCCACTGCAGCTGGAGCGTGCTCGGCAGCGGGTGCATGGGTTGAATTGGGTGATGCCTCTGGATGCATCCCAGGCAAGAACGCCCTCCAGATCCTCACGAGGACGGAGACCATCTCTCCTCCGCATCTCGGCCCAAAATAAGTCAGAGAACTTTTCTGTCAGATCTCGGTGCTAGACCTAGACCTTCCAGCCTTCGAGACCCCAATGTCGACACATCTCAGCAGAAGGTGGAAGGAGTTCGTGCCTGCC